CCACTGTGTCAACCCATCTGGCGCCTGAGGCCCCAGATGCCAGGCACAGCAGCCAGACAGCAGTCTGTTTGCAGACTTTAGTGTAAATACCAGGAAATCAGCTTCCTCAAACAAATCCCTTCTATTAATGTCCTTGCTTCTCAAAACCTAGAAATGAGAATTCACTCATATTAATTCTCTCATGTTCTCTAAAATCAGGAGCCTTTCTGTTCCATGGTGTAAGTGTCACATAATACCATTTCCCCTTCCTACGTTCTTCTCTTTCTCCATCCCTCAGCTCTGGATCTTTCTCTTTCTGCACCTTTATCCATCTTCCCCTTTTTCTTTCCTTTCCTCCATGGAAAAACAGACAGACAGATGCACAACAATTCAGAGCATAGAGTCTATATTTGAAATACATTTAGCACCACTGGATTAGACTCTTCCATCAGAGGGAGACCACAACAAAACACTCTCCCTTGTGAGGGGTGTTTTAGTGATAAGAGCAGACGTTTTTGGAGTCAACTTTAGAAATTTAGTGGGAACTTGCAAACCAAGTCTGAAAGCCAGAAACACAACAAGGAAGGAATTAGATTATGCAGACAATTTGGAAAGTAGCTACTAAGATAAATATGAAAAGAAGAATTTTTATACAGAAAAATGTTTACTTCAGGGAGAAGTCTCTGAGGGGGCATTTGCTGACCCTTTTGTGGATTTTTTGGTTAATATAAAAGTCAGAAATGATGACTAAGACCTTTTTAGAGTTTGAGAAATGAGTTAGGGTACTAGAGCTTGTGTGAACCTGAGCAGTGCTAACAGATAGATCATTTTCATGCCACTTCACTCTGTAAGCTTGCAGGCTGCTATTGGTGGTGAAGAGATTGTTTTATGAAGCAGTTTATCATCTGGATACCAGATGTTCTGGAGCAAAAGCTTCCTTTTTTTTCTTTTAATAAAGATGACCTCTTTTTTTTTCAGGCTGAGGATAACTCATCGTAATATTTTGCCAAAAAACCTTTAAGTTTAGATACATAATGATTTCTCTCTATTCAAACCACTTATGCTCTGTGTCATGTATGTTTTTGTATATGCTCATTGAAAACATCTTATTCATTTTATACAACTCATGTTTGCTGACTGTCATGAGCAAAGCACAGCCTTAAGAATTATTTTTTGGTTTTTTTATTTTTAAATTTTTTATTGTGATTTTTAACAAAAGTTTACAGAAAACTTGGATTTCCATACACTCATTGTTGCACAAATTACTCCCTAACCACACACACACAATTTGCTTTTCTATTTAAAAAATTAATTCACTGTTGCACAATTTCCTCTCTCCCACTCCGTCCACTTTGATATGCACCTTTTCTTCTGAACTACTGTCATGCAAATAATGCCTACTTATATATTCCTTTTAAATAATTCTTTCCCTCATCTGTTTCAATGCAGTGTTTGTTACCCTCTCTTTTCTCAGTTTTCCCCAAACTCCCAATATCAGTCTTGTTTTATAACAGTGAAACTGTTCAGTATTTGTCCTTTCGTGACTGATATATTTCACTCAGCATAATGTCCTCCAGGGTCATCCATTTTGTGTAATATTTACAGTTCCTTATTTTTCAGTACTTCATAGTATTCCATTGTGTGAATATACCACAGCTTCTCTATCCATTCATTTGTTGAGGGGCACTAGTGACAAAGTGTCACTATCCTTGTCTAGGCAGAACGTTTTGGAAATTCTTCTTCCAAGACAGATTTGTTTGTTCTACTGGAAGTCCCTGGTATATCCTGTATTTTTTGACAATATCACAATTCAAATACATCAGTTCTTCCATCTTCTTTATTCATTGTCTAGCTTTTACCTGCATATAAGGCAGTTGAACATGTCATGACATGGGTCAGGTCCAACTTTCTCCCCAAAGTGACAGTCTTACCTTCTAGCCCATCAAAGAGTTCTTTTGCAGCCGATTTGCCCAATGAGTCAGAATTGACTCATAGCTGACCCTTCAGTGGCTTTTCAAAGGCAGGCAATCAGTGCTGCTTGAATTTTTGACTGCTACTTCTGTGAGCATTGATTGTGGATCTAAACAAAATCAAATCCTTGACAACTTCAATATTTTCCTTAGTGTAAACATGCATGTTAGGCCAAAGTCCACTCTACTGCAGAGATCAGGGAGTGAATAGCTGGGGAATTGTTTATTTATTCCAGCTTTTGCAGAATTGATAGTGGAATCAATATCTACTCCTAAGAAAGCTCCCTGCTGCCTGCAAGCTTCCTGTCACAGTTTTCCCAGGGCCTTTGCCTACGTGTCCCAGCACATTAGCGAGTGTCAGGCCGTATGAGACATTACTGGGTGAGGAAATATTGTATTTTCTTGGGAGAAAAAAAAATCTTGTTCTTTTCCAGTTACTATAAGTTACAAATTTATCATCTCAAAATCCATCTCCATTGGGCCGAGGAATAGACCACCAGTTGTTTTGATGGTTCATTCTTTGTTAGATTTTTTTTTTTAAAGACAACTTACAAAGATGCATATAAATCGTTAAAATAAGTGGAATGAGGTGGGGGAAAATGAGTCAAAGAGAAAGTAAGACTAGGAAACGGAAAACTGGAATAATAAAGTCACCTGTAACTTCTCATCTTTAAAGGACACACGTTCAGTCCCTTGGGTAGTGTTTATATCCTCTATCAGTCACTATGTTGTCCATGAAGCTTAACGTGACTGGGTTGTTTTTGCTGTCAAGTCAGAGCTGACTCATAGCTGACCCTCCAGTAGGTTTTCAAAGGCAGGCAATCGCATGGAGGAAGATTGCCCATCTTCCCCCTGGATGCTTTATTTGTAAGAGCATTTGTAGTTGATCTGAACCAAACTTGAATGCAGAGCAGAGCTACTTGATGTGGTAATTATGGTTCAGGATTAGTTGCACATTGACACTTAGAGTGAGCAAGACCTTCAAAATAACCACCCATCTCCGTATTATGGGCCCATTTCCCACATTATCCTTGACAAGTGAAGATTCATCTCTCTTGTTAGTTTTCATTGCATAAGAAGTATTTGCTGGGCTTGTAACACAAGCTTTGCATTTGAGATAAAACCTGCTATCATTTGTGGTCATTTGAAGACCTTAGTGAAACTTGAGATCTATAGGACCTTGATGTATCTGATTTCTCAAACATTCCTTTTTAGGTTCCTATAAATATTAAAAGTGGTATTTAAATAGATTAGATTGTCTCTATCTCCTGACTTGTAGGAATGTGCATGATAAATTTTTATGTTAGAATTAGGTGGGATAGCTTGTGAAACAGGTTTGACTCCTAGCCAAGACACCTCATAAACACCAGTCTGTTAGTTGAGCCTTTAGTGTTGCTATGATGCTGATCATCAGACACAGATGGACCAGGAATTAAGACCTGGCTATAAATTTCTGAAGATCATCCAGTGAAGACCCTGTGGAGTACATTGTTCTGATCTGATTGTTTATATTGTTATTATGTGCTATTGAGTCGACTACAATTTATAGTGACTCTATGAACAATAGCTCTGAATTCTGCCCTATCCTGAGCCAATCTCACTACCTCTCACACACCTCCTCTTATTGCCACAGTCACTGTGGCAATCCATCTCATCCAGGATTATCCTCTCTTGTGTTGACCCTTCCAAGCATGATGTTCTTCTCTAAGAACTGGTCCCTCCTGGCAACATGCTCAAAATATGTGAGAAGGAGCTTCAAAATCCTTGCCTCCAAGGAGCAGCCTCGTTTCAGCCTCTCCAGGATAGTCCTGCTTGTTCTCTTGGCAGTCCATGGTATGTTCAGTATTCCTCTCCAGCACCACAATTCAAAGACGTTGATTCTTCTTCTGTTATCCTTAGTCATTGTCCAGCTCTCATATGCATAGCAAGCAATTAAGAAGGCCATGGCCTAGATCAAGCACACCTTAGTCTCTAGATTGACATTGTTGTTCTTTAACGCTCTGGAGAGGTCTCTGACAACAGACTTTCCTAAAGCAACTTGTCTTTTAATTTCCTGACTACTGATAACAAGAGTGTTGATTGTGGATCTGAGCAAGATGCAATTGTTAACAGTCTTAATCTCTTTTCCATCTATTAAGATGCTACCAATTGGCCCGGTGGTGAGAATCTTTGTTTTCTTGGTGTTGATATGCGACTCATATTAAAGACTGCGGTCCTTGACCTTCTTCAGCAAATGCTTCAAATTCTCTTTAGTTTTGAGTAGCAAGGTTGTGTCATCTGCATAAAACAAGTTGTTGAGTCTTGCCTCCAATCCTTCTTAATAAAGTCCAACCTTCTGAATGACCAGTTCCACATATAGATTGAAAAGGTATGAGAAAAGCATACATCCCTGACACACTCCATTCTTGATTTTAGACCATGCAGTGGTCCCTTGCTCTGTTTGTATGACAGCTTCCTGGTCTAGGCTGTGAATGAGTTTGCTGTGAATCAAAGTTTGATTCAATGGCTACTTATAACAAGCAAAACTCATTATCATTAAGCTGATTCTGACTCTTGGTGACCCCATGAGTTACAGAATACAATTGTTTTATAGGGTTTACTTCACTGTGAGCATTATAGAAGCAGATTGCCAGTCTTTCTTTCATGATGTGTTGGGAGGGTTTCCAACTGCCAGTGTTTAGTTACTGAGTGCAAACTGCTTGTATCACCCAAGGACTTACAGAAACAACATTCTTGAAGTTCCATGCACCCCTCTGCCAACTGTGTGCTTATAGACTATTTGTATAAAGAAGGAGACGGGTATGGAGAAGTACACATCTGAGTTTTAACCTTGGTAATGCCAGGGCTGGGGTTGACTGGAACAGGGAAAGGTTAAGGGGGAAAGGATTAGCTTTTTCTCTAAACAAAAATTGCTATTAAGATTATAGGGAGTGATAAGTATGTATTGTATTTTTTTTATTTAAAAGGTGTTACATAAAACTTAAAAACATTGCTAACAACTGAAAGATATCTGTCTAGACCTTAACCTCTTTTTTTGTGTGTTTTGATCAGCATATCATGAAACGAATTCAAAGACTTCAAGCTAACTGGGTCTTGGAAGTGGATACCTTCTTAAGTTACACACCCTACGGGTACCGGTCATTCTCAAATATCATCAGCACCCTCAATCCCACTGCTAAACGACACTTGGTCCTGGCCTGTCACTATGACTCCAAGTATTTCCCCCACTGGGACTACAGGGTGTTTGTGGGAGCCACCGATTCAGCTGTACCATGCGCGATGATCCTGGAACTTGCCAGAGCCTTGGACGATCGGCTCCTTTCCCTACAGGTAACTGTTTCCCTCTTGCTGATTCCTGGGATAAGATGCTTTAGAGAATTCACTCAGTGAATGACAGAGTCCTTGGGGGAATTAGAATGCTGTTTTGAAATGGAGACTTCAGGTATGTTTTATCTTAATTTGTTACAAAATGTTAAGAGGTTGAATGAATATTAATTGGAAGATTACATTATTTGATATTTCAAACAGGTAATCAGCCAAGGATGCATGGCAGTGCTCTCAATAAATGGGACCTGATATCTCAGTTTTAAATATATATTAAGTATATGTATATATAATAAGTAAATGCAGCCTTTGGAGAAATGAAGAAGGTAGAGGTTTGGTCCAGGAACACATATGAGAACTGCATTTCCCCCCCTTGCTCATACAGCCAGGAAACATTGCAAAACCTCTGATCTGAGAGAAGGTGTCTTTCGATTTGGGGGCAATGGGTTGCAGCAAAGTGGTTTCTAAGTAGAGAGTGAGTAATCCAAACATATCAAGATGAAAAGCATGAAGCAGAAATGCATTATTATCTGTGCATCTTGGCTCTATTTATGTAGCATAGCAGAGCTTTTGTTATGCTTTTGGCTCAAAGTACTTTAGGGACTATCAGATGTTATTTCAGTCTGTGTTCTTGAGGGCACATTGGAAAAAAAGGGCTGGTTGAAGACATTTTGTTCTGTTATCAGTCATAACTGAGTAAACACAACAAAGCAATACCAAAAATCTTTGTTCACAGCAACATTATTTTCCCCCTCAGAGTTTTGTGAAAAAGTCTAGCCTTTGAATCTGTGGGGTAAAGAAGTAAAAGTTTTATCTTGCAATGGAAGTAATGGAGATATTTAGTTTTGTTTTTGCTGCTATGTGGAATTCGAAGAAAGTGAGAATTGTTTCCAACCTCTCAGTATCCCTTTCACTGTTTTTTTGGCTTTGTTTGTTTTCCAAACGGCTTATAATGCCTTTGTCTCATGCTTTGCCCCTATTTTTAACTAGCACTCTGGTTTAGCAATTGAATGAAGGACTTCAGAAGCAGATTGTTGTTGTTATGTGCCGTCCAGTCACTTGTGACTCATAGCGACAAATATGCACAAGAGTCCTAAACCCTGCTCTATCCTGTGCCAACCTCATTGTCTCCAACACACCTACTCCCACTATCTCAATCACTGAATCGATCCATCTCATCGAGGGTCTTCCTCTCCTGTACTGACCCTCCACTCTCCAAAACATGATGTCCCTCTCCAAGAACTAGTCCCTCCTTGCAACATGCCCAAAGTCTGTATCAGAAATGGATGTTGTTGTTGTTGTTGTTGTTGTTATGTGCCGTCGAGTCGCCTGCGACTCATAGCGACCCTATGTACAACAGCCCTAAACTCCGCTCTGTCCTGTGCCAATCGCACTGTCTCCGACACTCCCATCCCAATTATCCCAATCACTGAATCAATCCACCTCATATACGGCCTTCCTCTCCAGCACTGTCCCTCCACCCTCCCAAGCATGATGTCCCTCTCCAAGGACCGGTCTCTCCTCACAACATGTCCAAAGTATGTTAGACGGAGCCTCAGAATCCTTGCCTCCAAGGAGCCACCCGGCTTAACCCTTTCCAGCACAAATCTGTTTGTTTTCCTAGCAGTCCATGGTATTCTCAATACTCTTCTCCAGCACCACAGCTCAAAGGCATCAATTCTCCTTCTATCCTCCTTGGTCATTGTCCAACTCTCTGATGCGTAACAGGTGATTGCAAAGACCATGGCCTGTATCAGATGCGCCTTAGTCTCTGAAGAGACACCATTGCTCTTCAGCACTTTGGAGAGGTCTCTAACAGCAGACTTTCCCATTGCAATGGGCCTTTTAATTTCCTGGCTGCTGGTGCCAAGACTGTTGACTATGGAACCAAGCAAACTAAAGCTGTGTACAATCTCAATCTCTTCATCATCCATCCTGATGCTGCCAATTAGTCCAGTGGTGAGAATCTTTGTCTTCTTGACATTGAGCCTCAATCCATATTGTAGGCTGCAGTCCTTGACACTCTGCAGCAGGTGCTTCAGGTCCTCTTCAGTTTCAGCAAGCAGGGTTGTGTCATCCGCATAACGCAGATTGTTGATAAATCGTCCACCATATAAGAATTTAATTTTATGTATTTGCAGGCCTAGTACCCACCAACTATCTGTCAGTTTGCTATAATGTTGTGGCCTGTGTGTTGCTATGATGCTTTGAGTTACCTCACCAGTGTTTCAAATATCAGCAGAATAATCCATGGTGGACAAGCTTCAGTCGAGCTTCAGACTAATATAGACTTGGGAAAAAAAGTCTAGAGTTGCATTTCTGAAAATTAACCAATGCAAACTTTATATCACAAAAGAATACTGGCCAGGAGCATGCAGGAGTGATGATTTTGTAAATTACTACTTAACTTGGGAGGGACTGGAGGGCATTTACGCTGAGTGAATTAACTCAGCCCATAACAACAAATACTGTATAAAACCATTATTGTCGAATGAGCATGAGGATCCAAAGTGGTGGGGGGAAAGCAGAGGAGTGAGAATGGGCAGGGGTGTGTGCGCGTGTATATGTGTTAATGAGAGGATTACACCATTTGATGGGTGGGGGATATGTGAAAGAAATGGGAAAGAGCTGGTGTGAAAAACAATGTATTTGAACTTTGTAAATAAATCAGTATAAAATAAAATTTAAAAAAGAAAAATATGTTGTCCAATATAGTGATGGAAGATGGAAGGCACTTGAAATACAGAATGACTGTGACAAGGGACTTGTGAAGATGGCACAGGGTTGCACAATATTTTGTTGCACACGGAGTTCCTATAAGTTGGAGTTTACACTTCTTCTCCATGCCTAAGTTTGCATTCCGCTAAACATAGCATTTCTGGAATTAAGGACATGAGATGAAGGATAGTTTAAAGACACAGTGCTGTGTTGTGCAAAATCTTTCTCTTGTTAAGCTTCTCTACCTCGTTCTACCTGGATTGGAGCTTTTTTGCAAGGAGAAAGAAAAAGGACTAAGTTGTTGAACAAAGATCTCCTTAAAAAAATTCAAGTTAACATACACATTTTTTAATGACCTCTTTTAATAGAAATTAATGGTGATATGGAGAATTAGAGAAATATAGGTTTCAAATGCAAAAGCAAAAATGATCAGATTTATTTTTCTTATTGTACTTTAAATTTGTATTGAAGGATTATTTTAAAGTTATTTTTGCTGTTGTGAATTGGGGAGGTGGTGGTAAGAAGTGCCCTTGCAGAGAGGTTGAACTACTAGTCTAACTACTAAACAATATCAATATCACATGTAAGCAAAATACTGCTGGAGATGGCTAAGTACATAGACAGAGAATTTCCAGAAGTTCAGGCAGGATTTAGTAGAGTTTGTGGCCCCAGGGATATCATTGCTGATGTCAGATGGATCTTGTCAGAGAGTAAGGAATATCAGAAGAATGTCTATTTGTGCTTTATTGACTATGAAAAGACATTTAACTGTGTGTGGATTGTGACAAGTTATGCTGACATTGAGAAGAATGGGAGTCCCAGAGAAATTAATTTTGCTCATGCAGAATCTATACATGGACCTGTTGAATGAACACAGCAGGAACACAACAGGAAGCTGTTGGATGAACACAGCAGGGAAACACTGCACGGTTTTAAATTAAGAAGAGAGTGAGTCAGGGTTGTGTTCTCTCTCTACCTATTCAATCTATGTTGTTGTTGTTATGTGCCGTTGAGTTGCTTGCGACTCATAGCGACCCTATGTACAACAGCCTTAAACCCCTCTCTATCCTGTGCCAATCGCCCTGCCTCTGACAAACCCATCCTGATTACCCCAGTCACTGAATCAATCCGCCTCCTCTGAATCAACCTTCCCCTCCTGCGCTGTCCCTCTACCCTCCCAAGCATGATGTCCCTCTCCAAGGACCTGTCTCTCCTTACAACATGTCCAAAGTATGTCAGACGAAGCCCCAGAATCCTTGCCTCCAAGGAGTAGCCTGGTTTTACCCTCTCCAGGATGAATCTGTTTGTTTTCTTGGCGCTGAGAAAATTATCCAAGAAGTTAGACCCGATGAAAAGGAGTGTAGCATCAGGATTGGAAGAAGACTCATCAATAACCTGCATTATGCAGATAACACAACCTTGCTTACTGAAAATGAGGAGAACTTGAAGCACTTGTTGCAGAAGATCAAGGAATGCAGCCTTTGGTATGGATTGCATCTCAATATCAAGAAAACAAAGATTCTTACCACAGGTCCGATGGACACCATCATGATGGATAAAGAGGAGATTGAAACTGTCTACAGCTTCACCTTGCTTGGATTCACAATTAACTCCCTTGGTACCAGTAGTCAGGAAATAAGGAGAGGCAGTGCACTGGGAAAATCGGCAGTTAAGGACTTCTCCAAAATTATTGAGGAGTAATGATGTTAATTTGAGGACTAAAGTGCATCTGATTTAAGCTATAGTCTTTTTATGCATCTGAGAGCTGGGCAATGAATAAGGATGACAGAAGAATGAAGCTTTTGTGGTGTTGGAGAAGAGCACTGAACATCCCATGGATGGCCAATAGAACAACAGCTATGTTTTGGAGGGTGCAGCCAGAGTGCACATTTGGGCATGTTGCTAGGAGGGGCTATTCCTTGGAGGACATGATGCTGGAAATGGTGGAGATTCGGCACAGGAGAGGAGGACCCTGAACCGGGTCGATTGACACAGTGACTGCCGCAGTGGGCTGGCTGTAGCTTGTCAGGAAGTGTGAGAATGGCACAGGATAGAACAGGGTTCCGATCATTTGTTCATAGGGTTGCTATGAGTCATACTAGACTCAACGGCACCTAACGACAACAACAACAATAACAACAACAACAACAACAACATTCTAATTTCCCATAATACCTTTCCCATGCCAAGAAGAGGATTATAATTGCATATCCATTTCAGTTGTCTTGTGGCTTTTCTGTGCCCTCTACTGCAGTTTGTACTAGTTCCTTGTCCTTTGACTTCGGACTTTGTTATTCGACTTATTTTGGCTAATGAGATATTAGAAGATGTAATCCAAGCACACATGGCAAATGTGTATCCTGGATGGTACTAAAGTGTTATTTTAAGCCAGAGTTTGGGGTTGTTGATACATTGTGTTTTTGAGGCACTAACAGGTACAGCCTTCAGTGGGAAAAGATTGCAGAGATTTCCCTGAGTGAACTTTGTTCACTGTGAACAATGGTAATTAGAATTGGAAGACCTTTGCAAATTAGGCCACACAGTCTCCTAGGTCTGAAGCATTTGGCTGGGTTCCTAGAAGTTGAGGTCCAAAATGACTTTCTTGCCAATTCTGGAAAGAAACAAAAAGAGCAAATTGCCTTGAGGGATGCAGTATCAATGTCCACAGAAAAGGCTGAATGAATTAATCCTTCGAGAGCAGAGGGAAAGTAAATCATCACACCCATCATTAGAGTCACACTGGCTGTTGAAATAGCAATGTGGCTGCAGCACGGTCAAGTCTGCAGAGAGAGCACATGACCTCTTTTTGCCTCTTCTCCAGCCATGCACAGAATGTCTGGGTCCCACACAGTTTCCTTCTGTTCACATGTTCTGTGACTGCACTGTCTAATTTGAAGCTGACACCTTGAAACCATTCTAGTCCTTCAAGCAAGTGCTTAAATGTCTCAACTGAAATACTTAACCTCCCTCCTTATAAATAATTTTGTTAATGACAAAATCTTTTTAACAGTTTGATGTTATCAAGAGTATGGGAGTTTCAAAGCATAATACACCATCCTTTTCCTGTGGTCTAATTAAGGAGCAATATAAAGACAATTCAAATGACTAACATGCAAAAAAAACTCCTTTTACTTTTAACTATTAGAAATACTTCTATCTTTCTTATGAAAACACTTTCAAATAATTCTGAAAACTCTGTCTTTGATGAAACTGGGAGGCATTTATTGACAGGAACCACAAAATGAAGACAAAGGTGGGTTGAAAAATAGCAAATGGCACATAAAAAACTGAGAGAAGCCAACCTCCCAGAAAGGAGAATAAATGAAAGAAGCAACCTGCCAAGTGTTCACATGTACCTATTTTGCTAGCATGTACTCAGCATTCTGTTTCTGTGGTCAAGGAGCTCGCAACCCTGTGGAACAGGGTTCCACACTGGTCTTTGGTTCTCTACCATATCTGTTGCCATTGCCACCTGCTGCCATCACTGCTGCTGCTACTTTATAGTCTTGTTCTTGCTCTATCTCTCTAGTGCCACATCTTTTTCTTTAATTGATGTCAAGCTCTACAGGACCCAAGGATGTGCTGTACTCTCAGGTTCTTTCTTCTTGATAGTAAGAAAATCTCTGTTTTCTACCTCTGTTGTTGTTGTTATGTGCCTTCGAGTCTTTATACCAAAGCTCTCAACCTTGCCTTATCCTGAACCAATCTCACTGTCTCCAGCACACCTACCCCCATTATCCCAGTTACTTTGTCCCTCCATCTCTCCCTGGGTCTGACTCTCTTGTGCTGTCCCTCCATCCTTTCAAGCATGATGCCCTTCTCCAAGGACTGATCCCTCCTGGTAACATGCCCAAGTATGTCAGACTGAGTAACTGGGCTTCACACTCTTCAGGACAGACCAGTTTGTTCATTGCAGTTCATAGTATTTTAAATGCTCTTATTCAGCACCACAACTTAAAGATGTTAATTCTTCTATTGTCATATTTATTATTTGTCCTTTCTGATGCATAGAAAGTAATTGCAAAGACCATGGCCTGGATCAGGCATACCTTAGTCCCTAGACTGACGTATATTAGGGCTGTGGAGTCTTTTCCTTCCTCTCCTAGATGGCTACTGAAATTATCCAGTCACAGGAAGCAGCAATTGTGGTTGTTTCTCTCTGTTAAGGATGTTAAACTCCTCTACCTCCTTTCCCAGAAAGAGTTATCTGAGATGCCAGTCCACTTCGATATCTTATTAAAAAAAATCTGAGCATTACCCTCCCCAGGTTCCTTGTAAGACAATATAAAACCCCTCTCTAACTTTTAGTGGGTGCTGGTTTTCTGCTTTAGAGCCAGGCTGGCAGTTTCTCCTCAATAAATTGTCTTTCTTGGCCTGACCTGGGTTCTGTCCTTCCTCAGTTACCTTACATTTCTGGTGCTGATACCCAGGAGGGGCACCTGCCAGGAGGCAATAAGCTCTTATTCCCTAACTTGCTCTGTGTCTCTTTCTCTTTCCCCTCTACTTTCAAGCCTAACCCACAGAGCCTAGAAATCTCTCCTGAGCTCTCTTCAGAGGCTTAGGGGATCTACTGACCAGCCTGTGTCTCCTATTGCCTTTACAAGCAGGATTGGAGTCTGCCCTGATTCCGTATTGAGATTTTTTTGGAAACTCTGTGAAATTGGCTTCTGTTTCTCCTTAGTGTAACCTGTCATTCTTTCTCTTGACCTAAAGGCACCTAGGACATGTTGTTGTTGCTGATTGCCTTCGAGTTGAGCAGAACTCATAGTGACCCTATGAAAAAAAGGCTTGAAGCCCCTCTACAACTATCGACATTTATCAAAGTTCATAGAGTTTCTGGAGGCATGTTATTTAGGAAGAGGATGCCACTCCTGCTGGATCACCCTAATTCTTTTCACTCCTCCATGGGCTTGATTTGCATCCAAAATAAAATGGCTATTGAGACTTATTATTTAATAGATATTATGGCTATACCATGCAATAAGAGAGTACCAAGGGAGCAGAGGAGATAACCTCAGAGGAGTGTACCAAGACAGGTAGAATTGGTTGGCACCCTTGACTGGGGAGGGATAAACAGTGGCGGTTCAGAGAGAGAGAGAGGAGAGAGAGAGAGAGAGAGAGAGAGAGAGAGAGAGAGGGGCAGGCTTAAGGGAATAAGGGGCCCTTTATTTCCTTTTTTTTTGTTCTCATGAGAAGACGGTCTGCTCATAATGCAGACATCCCCAGCATCAGGAGAGACTGACCCAGGTAGTTGAGGGATCAGGCTTGTCTAGCACTAGGACTTTTAGAGTCCAAAGAGAGCAGGAGACCTGAAAGAGAAGAATCACTGCCATTTATTCCAAATTGGTCTGGTATTGTTTGGAAGGCCAGCAATGGCAAAAGGGAGAAAGACTCAGAGAATGGACGGTGTCCTCTCAGCAGTGTAAAGAGGGACAGTCAGGATGACTGAAATGTGTTGTGTGGGGCTAGGGGTGAGAAATGAGATGGAGAGAGAAATAGATAGACAAGGATGACTCCAGTGTCTGTTTAGACTGAATAACAACAGTAAGGTTCGTGTTGCCATCAGTTTACTTGGAAAAGATTATGATAGAGCACATTTCAGGAAGAACGCCAGGGATTGAGTTTTGAATATGTTGTGTTTGACATATTTAATAAAGATATTGCTTTTACAGACAGAGAGAGAGAGAGAGACAGAGAGAAGGGAGGGGAGGGGAAGGGAGAGGAGGGGAGGAGAGAGGAGAGGAGAGGAGAGGAGAGGAGAGGGGAGGAGAGGAGAAGAGAGAAGAGAGAGAGAATTTTCTGTTTACAGAAGGGGGGGAAGAGGTGATATTTATATGGGTAGAGATTGTGGGAGGTGTGATGATTTTGAGAAGTGGTAAGAAATTTTGGCACGATTCTCCTTGCTTTGGTGTCTTCTCTCATGACATCTCTATTTTCTGCAAAATTCATGGGAATGTGTATACTGTTTTGAAGTCGTTACAGCAATGTTTGCTAACTTTTTCCTTATTTTTTGTTATCAGAACATTTCAGACTCCAAGGTAGATCTCTCGCTTCAGTTTATTTTCTTTGATGGGGAAGAAGCTTTCCTTCACTGGTCTCCTAAGGATTCTCTGTATGGGTCTCGGCACTTGGCTTCAAAGATGGCATCAACCCCACATCCGCCTGGAGCAACAGACACCAATCAGCTGCAAGGCATGGTTAGTCTGGTTAACGTCTGCGATACTGGAGCATGCTCTGCCTCCAAGGGAGCGTCTGCTCACTCAAACACAGACCTACAAATGTCATGACGTCCTTGGAGCAGTGTGTTTATAAAAGACTATTTCCTGGCTGTTGCTGGGTTTTTGAGGGAACCCAGAGCTAAAAAGAATGATTTGGGGTTAGAAGCTATGCTTGACTGAGCTTCCTGAAAATGACATGAAAAAAAAATCACATGAAAGACACATTAGATTTTATTTAGTCCAGTGGGAGCATGTTCCCCCAGCACTGTATAGAGCTGGAAAGAGTGAATCCTTATTTATAGAGTTGCTGGTAGCTGGGGTCCTGGGGAGTGGGATAGGTGTGGAACACAGTATGGGACCTGAGTGAAACATGCCTTTGGACATCTTCAAAGAGGTATAGTGACTCTAAGTGTGTATATGACATTTTGATGTGTTGGCTTTGATGTGACTTTTTTGACAAGGAGTATGGAACACTTTGACATTGTTTCCAAATACTGCTCTTACTTCCAAATAATGGGTGAAACTGCCTCTTTTTCATCCCTATTTCTGGGATCACACCCCATCCCTAATCCCTCATCCCACCCCTGAACCCTTACTCTACTCTGACTCTGACTACTCTACTCTACTCTGACTACGTTTGACTCACATTCGGGCCCTGAGGCTTAAGCGGCACCACTTCAGCTTCCTCTGAGACTTCTTTCTGCCATGTACTCTCACCCATCCCTGATTCTTACCCTGTTTGTGAACTGACAGCATAATCCTTATCCCTTCACTCATCTTTGTCTTTCTGTCACTGACCCTCACCTCACTCTTACCTCTGTTTATGAGTCCAAATGACTGCATTAAAATGACAGTTCATGATGAGTCAAGCGGATGTGGTTAGCATCTCGTTTATTCTCTTGTCCTCACATGATGAAAAGGGGGAAAGAAGAGAACTGGTTGATAAATAGTTCACATGTGGAAGTGTACAATGATGGTGGTGGCAGTTGTTGTTATGTGCCGTCGAGTTGCCTGCAACTTATAGCGACCCTATGTACAACAGCCCTAAACCATGCTCTATCCCTTGCCAATCTTATTGTCTCCTACACACCTATCCCTATTATCCCAGTCACTGAATCAATCCATCTCATTGAGGGTCTTCCTCTCCTGTGCTATCCCTCCACCCTCCCAAACATGATACCCCACTCCAAGGACTGATCCTGCCTTGCGACATATCCAGACTATGTCAGATGGAGCTTCAGAATCCTTGCCTTCAAGGAGCAGCCTGGCTTCACCCTCTCCAGGACAAACTTGTTTGTTTTAGCAGTCCATGGTATAGTCAATATTTTTCTCCAGTACCACATCTCAAAGGCATCAACTCTCCTTCTGTCATCTTTAGTCATTGTCCATCTCTCTGATGCATAGCAAATAATTGCAAAGACCATGACCTGGATCAGGAACACCTTAGTCTCCAGACTGACATTGTTGCTCTTCAGTACTTTGGAGAGGTCTCTGACAGCAGACTTTCCCAGTGCAATTCGTCTTTTAATAACCTGGCTGCTGGTACCAGGAGTGTTCATTGTAGAGCAAAGCAAACTGAAGCCGTCAATAATCTCAATCTCTTCACCATCTATCATGATGCTACCAATCACCCAGTGGTGAGAATTTTTGTGTTCCTGATGCTGAGCTTCAATCCATATTGAAGGCTGCAGTCCTTGACCTGCAGCAAGCGCTTCAGGTCCTCCTCTCAGTTTCAGCAAGCAGGGTTGTGTCATCTGCATAACACAGATTGTTGATGAGTCTACCTCCAATCCTGATGCCACACTTCTCCTCATAGAGCTCAGCCTCCCAGATAATCTTCCACATGATGGTTCAGACCTTTTTTTAACAGACAAATTATTAGCTTATTTAATTTTGTGAATGTGCTACTTTTTCAAATAGGTATATACATATTTACAATGAGCACATTTCAGTACCATCATGGAATAAAAGACTACAAATACTTACCTATTATGTGCTAGTCATATTCTGTGATTTTTATGCAAATGTATTTTATTTACACATTTAAATAATAGTTAATCTTGTTGTTATTGTTGTTTGGTGCCGTCGAGTCATAGATGACTCATAGCGACCTTATGAATGAAAGGCCTGAGTACTATTCGTAGAGTTTCCAGAGACAAGCCATTTCGGAAGTGGATGCCACTCTTGCTTCCAAGCTTGTTTTCATCGGGAAGCTCCACCAAAAAGTGTGAACCATGCTTAACCATTACCACGTTTGGCACACCAGTGTCACAGTGTTCAGCATCACAGCAACCACGAGTTACCTCTGTACAGCAATGCACAGACCAGTACTAAACCACCTAGAAGAATGTTTGACAAAAAACTAATTTGAACCAGGCCTGAGTGCTGCAGATTAAAATCACCCACCTTTGGCTTGGTAGCATAACTTTCTGTCCACTAGGCCAACGTAGCTCTCTCTGTGTTGTCGTTGTTATTGTTGTTAGGTGCCATTGAGTTGTAAACAACGCACAGTGACCCTATGAATGAAAGGCCTGAACACTGTTCATAGAGTTTCCGGAGGCAAGCCGTTTCAGAAGTGGATGCCACTCCTGCTTCCAGGCTTGTTTCAATCTGGAAGCTCAACTAAACACTGTCCACCATGGGCACATTTGGTACATCAGTGTCACAGTGAGTAGTTTTTAGGGAATCCTCATCTTGATGATGTTTTATGGAAAAAGATATATTAAACACACATATGAGCACACACAATCTCATTTATACGCTCATATACTCACACTCACATACACATTTTGGTCTTCCCTGAAAAACTCCACAATATGATTTCCAAGAATAGTCAATGGCTCAAAGAATTTGAGGAATATCAGTCTAATTATAGAGGCTTGTAAACAGAAGAGACCTTTAGAGATTAGCTACTTTGATCTTAACAGAGAATGAAACTGAAGTCTAGAGACATATAGCCACATTCTCTCCTAATTCCTTGAGGGATTTTTCTTAAGCACTTCTATAAAAAATAAAGTTTCTCTTCAGTGGCATAGTGTGTATTATATGTTACTAACTAGAAATTCAATGGTTTGAATCCATCAACTGCTCTAAGGGAAAAAGATGAACAGTTTCTCCTATGAAAATATACAGCCTGTGAATCTCAATAGTCATTAGAAGCCAGAATTTACTTGATGGCAGTGGTTTTGGCTTTGGGTTTTATCCAACAGTTCATTTATGGGCTCTTCTTCCTCAGGAGAAGAGATGAGTACAATGTGAACATCAATCAACAACATTTGAAGAGGGAAGGGTCCAAGACAGCATTCCTAGGAAACTCCTAGCTTCCCTCAGTGACTGTCAGCTCAGTGAAATGGATCCTCTCACCCAGCCTCAGGAGAAGACCAGCCACCAAACTTGGGTAGACAGTGGTCCCTGGCAGCATTCCTAGGAAGTTCCTAGCTCTCCTCAGAAGCTTTGTCCAGTAGCAGGGGAAACTGGCCCCCCTTCAAATAATGTCAAAAAAGCAGCGGATAGGAACAAACATCACAACAAAACAAAACAAGCCTTCTGAAAAAAAGCAGAGCAGATCAAGGACTCAATTATTATTACCTCAGAGTTGGAAGGCAGAAGAAATATGCTGATGAAGATATCCAAGAAGTTACAAACGTTGGAAGATTTGAAATAATAAGTAATAAGCAACAAGAAAGGGGGGGGAAGAATCATGGTAAGACAAAGAGGATACAACCACACAGTAGTAGAAAAAGAAAAACATGGAAATGCAATAGAGAATATATCAATGCCTTAGTGGCAGAAATTCTTAACAGGTTGGAAGCACAAAAAAAGCAGAATGGAAGAGATGGAACAGAGAATCAACAAGATGGAAGACAAGAAAAGTGAGAACTTTCAAGAAGAAAAAACAGTGAGAAAACAGAAGGAAAGTGAAGATAACATTAGTATCAGCTACACGGTCTTTTCTAATTAGAACGGAGTGGAATATCAGACAGACCTGCAACTGAAAATAAAGCAGTATATTCTTTGTCTATATTCATCTAAGTGTTTCCTTCCCCGTTTCATCTTAGTGATTTCTTTTTTGGGCGTACAGACACGAAGACTCTTCACTGTGCTGTTTGTCCACATTACTTAAGCAAAATTTAAACATATTCTCTCATACAATTAGCTTGCAGTTAGTTTTGACTGTCCCTGCCTCCCATGAGGATTGTAAAAATCAGTTAATGTATTTTTCTATCTTAGGATTTACTGGTGCTATTGGATTTAATTGGAGCTCGAAACCCAACATTTCCCAATTTTTTCGCACAAACTACAAGATGGTTTAAGAGGCTCCAATTTATAGGTAAGTACTATTAGTATTGAAGAGACATTTTCTTCCTACTAACGTTATATAACATTTAAAATCCCAGACTTATGATTTAAGTGTATAATACACTTGATTGCCTTTCCCTTTATGGATCAGTTTCTTACCCTTATTCATTACTTTCAGTAGTATTCTTATTTCATTTTATTACGTTTAGCCATATTTTTGAAATGAACACATTCAATACTATACTTCACATTTGCATGTCCCTGGAGATGGTCTGAAATGATTTTTTTCAGAGTCCTATTTGAAGCATGTGGACTACATTTCTAGGAAAAATTTGACTTACCAGAGTATGTTGGTTGACTATAACCTTATAATGAAACACACACACACACACACACACACACACACACACACACACACACTTTGTTTTCTTTCTTTCCCATCTCTGTTTTAGTCACCCTCTACCTTCTGCTTTACCTAGACATTCTTTTCCTTTTGTTGTGGTAAGATGAGTCTTGATCAGGCTATGAGAGCTAACGAGAATCTTTGGAAGTCATTTAACAGAAGGGTCAGTGTCAAAAAGATGAGAGTAATCTAGGCCAGGCCAAGAAACATAGATATCTATCGTTCTAGAAAAAGGACGATAACTTTCCACTTTCATACTTTTAGCATCAAAGAAAGAGCAATGGGCATCAGAAAAAGATGGAAAGAAAAACCTCCTTAATCATAGACTCCAGCCCCAAAGCCCTACATTTAAGGCAAGAATTTCATGCTAAGAATGACTTAGGAGCCACATGAGTGTCTGGGAGCAGGAGAGAATTCTATTTCTTCTATCGTGGCAAAAGCACTACCATCTTAATTATTTTTCCCCCCATGTGTTAATAAACTATTTAAGATTACCAAACAGGGTGTTTCAACAGATGGTTATGATACTAGAAGTTCCATTATCCATGACAGGAAACACTCTGTACTTGTGCCCAATTCAAAGAAAGGTAATGCAAGAGAATGTAGAAATTGTCAAAGAATATCTTTAGTATCAACTTGCTACTGTCATACACAAGTAAAATTTTGCAGAAGATAATGAAAAAAAAAAAAGGTTCCAAAGAGTACATCGACAAGAAACTTCAGGGAATTCGAGATGTGGAATGAGAGATAACACTGCTGATGTCAGATGGAGTTCAGTTGAAAGCAGAGCATACTAGAAAGACTGTACAGTTGCAGTCACAATGTGGAAAATAATAAAGAATAGATAGTATTGTGAAAAGTGGGAATTCCAGAACACTTAATTGTGCTAATGTTGAACCTGTACATAAACCAAGAAGCAGTCATTCAAACAAGGAAAAAGGATACTATATGGTTTAAAATCAGGAAAGATGTGTATCACGGTTGTATCTTTTCATCATGCTTTGCTGTTATGTACCATCAAATTGGAACTCTATTCATTGCACCAAGAAGAGATTGCCCATCTTTCTACCATGGTGAATTCAAACCGAGAGCCTTTTGAATGGCAGCACAGTTTCTTACCACTAGGCTGCCAGAGTTCATAATGCTTACTCAAGTCCATATCTGAGCAAATAATCCAAGAAATTGGATTATGTGAAGAATAAAGCATCAATATTGAAAGAAAACTCATTAACACCATGAGATATATAAATGACACAGTCTTGTTGCTAAAAGTGAAGAGGAATTTTGAAGTACTGATGAAATTCAAACCTTTCGATATAAATTACAGCCGAACATAAAGAAAACAAAACCTCCATGACTGGATGAATAAGCCTTATCATGATTGAAGTTGTTCAAGATTCCATTTTACTTTGATCCATATCTGCTCATGAAAGCAGCAGTCAGGGCACATTGCATGGAGCACATTTTGCTGTAGAAAACTTGTAGAAGACTGATAATGTTAAAAAGTAGACATAATTGTGAAGGCAAAGGAAAGATCAAAGAGGAATTGATGCTTTTGAATTGTAGGGCTGGTGAAGAATATTACATAGTCCATGAACTTCCAGAAAAATGAACAATTATGCTTTGAAAGAAGTGCAGTCAGACTGTTGCTTGGAAGCAAGGGTGGTGAGACTTAGTTTTACATTCTTTGTCCAGATTGTCAGGAGGCAACAATCCCTAGAGGACATCATGCTTGATAATGTAGAGGTCAACAATAAAGACGGCCCTCAAAAAATGAGTTGACACAGTAGCTTCAGCAATGGGCTTAAACAGCAACAGTTCTGGTGATGGTGAAGAATGGATGCATGTTTCATTCTCTTGTACCATGAGCCAGAAATGACGACATGACATCTACCAATAACAATATGGAACTGCCAACACCCACATCTAGAATCTTCCTCAAGAAACATCCTCAACCTCAAATGCTTATTTTTTTTTTAAAAATTCTAACCCATACTTTTAAATGATTGCTATTATGGTTTTATTATTATTATTATGTTGTTGTTGTTGTTAAGTGCCATTGAGTCACTGGCGACTCATAGCGACCCTATGAATGAAAGTCCTCAAGACTTGCATGTGCAACTTTCGTCCTTTCTCCAGGTTCATAGGGTTTCCAGAGGCAAGCTATTTATGGAAGTGGATGCCACTCCTGCTTCCAAGCTTGTTTCAACCAGGAGTGCCACCAAACACTGTCCACCATGGGTGGGTAACCGTTATTGCATTTGACATATCAGTGTCACAGTATTCAGCTTCGCAGCAACCACAAGTTATCTCTGTATGGCAAGTGGACACACCAGGGCTATACGACCTAGAAGACTGTTTGAACAAAAACAATGAAAAACTAGGGCTCTTCAGGATTTTACCATCATCTGGCATGGCCAAATGCTGGCCAACTCTGGGCCAAAGACTCCCAGTTCGTCTGTCGAGTCCACTCTGCTGACCTCCACTTGGGGCACAGAGAAAGCCACATGTGCCCGGAGCCTTCCATACCTGCCTCTCCTCCAGAAGCCAGAGGCTGCATGCGGCTGACACTGTCTCCTTTTTCTTGTTGCTTAATTTCCTCACTTTGGAAGTTGTTAGGTGCCGTCAAGTCAAGTATGACTCATAGCGACCCTATGAACAGCAGATCTGAACCTTGTCCAATCCCGTGCCTTCCTCATCATCTCTGATAGCCTATTCCTACAGTCCTTGTGTTAATTCATCTTGTTGAGGGTCTGCCTCTCCTTCACTGACCCTTCACCTTTCCAAACAGAAGTCTCTTCCCAAGGAATAGGTTTTTCTAACATGTCCAAAGTATATGTGATGAAGCTTTGTCATCTCTGCGTCTAGGGAGCTCTCTGGCTGCACATTCTTCAAGATTTATCTGTCAGCCATTGAGTTTGACCTTCGTTCAAGGATCTTGTGTCTTTTCTGTAGTATCCCTAGCAGAATGAACTGACAGTTCTCTCTGACAGAATTAAGCACTGATAAAGGTGAGGGTAACTTGTATGCTAATGCAAACCATTGTGAATCTATTGAGCTGCTCCCTCCTAATGGTTTTTAGGTTTTGAACTGTGTCTGATTGCTTAAAAAAAAAAGTTACATTCTGTGTTAAAAGAATTCTAATGATCAATAAAATATGGCAGCAATATTGTCTCTTATGGGGATTTTCTCAGTGTTCCAGAAATTATTTTCTAAGTGTTTGTTGATTAGCTGGTCTAGTTCTAAAATTATTGGTTTTAAAACTCAGTTATTGGTTGTCTGTTAGTATTCTGGGTATATCTTTTCATCTTGTAGTAGATAAACCAATGTTGCCATTGAGTTGACTCTGATAAATGTCAGAGAAGAGCACTGCCTGATTTTTCAGAAGTAAATCACCAGGCCTTTCTACCAACACACATTTGGGTTGAACTTTCAGCTTTTTAGTTAACAGTCCGACACAGGGACTGTATCCCTCAGAGACAGTGACATTGGCACAGGATAGAGCAGGGTTTAGGGTTGTTGTACTACATAGGGTCGCTATGAATTGCAGGCTACTCAATGGCACATAACAACAACAACAACAACAACAACAACAACTGAAATAAATAACCACTACCTTGGAAAACTTGGCTATTTTCAATAAATTGCTAATTAATAAGTTTAAGGGTGGGGGGAAGATGACAAGAGGGATAGAATGTTGGCCTATGGCTCTAAAACGGAATGGATCAGAATTTTCTGGAGGATATGTTGTATCACAGATTGATGAACCCTGCTTTCAGAGTTTCTTATTCAGTAGGTCTGAGACAGGGCCAATTAATGTGCATTTCTAACAAGTTCTCAGGTGATGGTGATGCTGCAGGTCTTGGGACCACACTGTGGGAAACATTGATGCAGGTCAAACTGGGCATCCCTTTCCCATGGAGTGGTCACTTGGTATACTTCATCCCGTTCTAGTAAGTGTTTTTTTTTATTAATTTTTTTTAAATTTTATTTTATTATTTTTGTGTGCGTGTACCGTCAAATCAGATCTGACTGGTACAGGAGGAGATTGTCCCTCCTTACCCGGCAGAGCATCTGGTGGATTCGAACAGTTCGCCTCTGGGATTGTAGTTGCAGCTCCTTGCCACTAGGCCACCAGAGCTCCCCTGTAAGTGTTCTTTTAAGCATAACTCTTTTTCAGGTATTCTTTTGTGTCCTTGATCACCTCTACTCAATAGCCACCATTTTCTTCTTCTTTCCTCCTCACCCTCTATTTTCTTCTTCTTCTTCTTCTTTTTTTTTGTTCTCCTCTTCTCCATCATTTTATTGTTTTTACCTTTGTGGATGTTCTCACCTGTACAGATACAGCTTTGCATGAACATGACTCATCTTTCCTTGAAACTATATCCAAACATCCCAGCGGTTGACCTAGGTATTGTCATGGGTATGGCTGTGCTGACAAATACACAGGCTTTTAAAATAATGTCCATATATACTGCAAAGATCTCAAACCCTTTATGATAAGATGCACTCTTGTGTCTTGGCCATGGAAAGACAGATATTTATCTGCTTTTTAATTTTCACCCACAGAGCAAGCACTCTACGAACTGGACTTGCTCAAGGATCACTCTGTGTTTGATTGGCAATATTTCCGGAGTTATGATTACAGAGCAGAGATTCAGGATGACCACATTCCATTTTTATCAAAGGGTAATTTGCATCTTTGTGTACATATCCACACAAGTATGTGTGCACATTTCCCCTGTTGACTTTACTGTGTTGGTGTACATTTTGAAACGCTGAGAATATGGCCCTAATATAGCTTATCTACTTTTTTTTTCCAACATGATTTTAAGCTTATCTACTTTTAAAGACTAGATCAAGATTATGAATACTCCAAATTACTGTCCTAAGAGAATCTTTAAACCTTAAGCCTCACTCAGAAACTTAAAGTCTGCTTTAAATCACACAACTGTTTGGTCTAATTGTTGTTGTTGTTAGTAAAGTCTAATTAGTAAGTGTCTGCCTGGAGTATTGTGCGCTTTCAAAGATTTGGCTATGTTGGATCAAATTTGCAACAGCAAATCAAAAGGCTGGTGAGGAGCTTAGAAGACAGTCACTATGTTAATGGTGATAGAATGATTTGGGCAGGGATAGCAAGAACATTTAAACAACTTGAAGAATGTGAACAATAACACTGAATTGCATGTGTAGTGCTTGTTGAAATAATATAGTTGTGTACATTTTCCTTGTTTTTTTTCTTTTAGTGAAAGAGTAGAGACCCAAATCAGTGCTACCAGTCTTGATTTATTTATTCCCTGTTTACCTTCCGGTGCCATGAAGGGACTCACTTAAGTGGTGAAATGATTTAACAATCTAATTTCTACTGATAGTTGAGCAGTGAGTTGTACATGATAATGATTGAGTAAGGAGCTCTGGTGGCATAATCTGTAAGGAGTTGTGCTGTTAACCTGAAGACCTTCCCTCTCTGGTGGTTTGAATCCACCAGCAGCTCAGAATGATGAGCAATCTCCTTCTGTGTGATTTACAGCCTCAGAAAATATGTTATGAATCAGTTCTAACTTGACAGCAACGAGGCGGATTTTAAAAATAAGTTGGTGCATTTTTAATCAATTATTTTTAAAATATAGTTGTTGAGTACTGTTGAGTCAGAACTGACCCATAACTGAACTTCTGTTGTATTTGTGAAATGTATTTGTGTTATTGTGAAGATCTTGGCTTCGATCAGGGGCACTTTAGTCTCTAGACTGACGTCATTGCTCTTCAGTACTCTGGAGAGGTCCTTGATAGCAAGCTTTCCTGATGCAATTTGTCTTGATTTCCTGATCCATGAAATCCTTCATATTACATGACTTCTCTTTTCTAGTAGACATTCAAAATACTTGAGAGTATCTTGACATTATTTTTTCTTCATCTAAAATCCTTATGAGGGCTCACATCCCCCTGATATCCTCCTTTCCTTTCTTGGGGTAGATTGCATTTTTACACTTTTTGCTACACTAATATTTTCCAGCCAATAAAGAAAGAATATCCCCTGTGCTGAGATTGTATGAATCTAAATCAATCCAAGGATTCTCCAGCTTAGACTCCTGTTGCCTTATTTTCTACATAGGTACTAGAATAATCTTTAAAACATATGGACAAAGCTGTGTTACTTCTTTTCTTTAAAGTGCTAAATATGCCATTGCATAGAATGAGAAACTTTTCCCAGTAATTTAGGACCCCATTTTCTGATTCTGCTTTTGCTGTCCAGTTTTACCTCTTTCTCTCTAACTGTTGCTCTGATTCAAACACATTTGCCTTTTTTTGCTTGACCTTTCTCAGGCTAGACAAGCACACTACTACCTCAGAATCTTTGCACCTCTCTTATCACTTCCTAAAATGATGTTTTCTATTTGTTCATTTGCTGCTTTTACACTGGACTGTAAGGTCCAGGGGAGAGAATTTTTCTTTTTCCCCCCTGATGAAACTTCAGCTCCCAGAATAGGACTAGATATAAAGATATTATATAAGCATTTATTGAATTAACTAATATTTGTCTTTGGAGAACAAGGGTAAGATACAAGAAAGTCTATGGAAGATAAGTTGTTAGCTGATTTGATATGGCATAGAGCTCTCGCTCGAACCCTCTCCTGGAAAAATGATATTGTCTAGTTTATATACTAGAATTATACACTGGAATTATACATTTGATTACAAGGAAGTTCTTTCATATTAGGTGTTCCAGTTCTGCATTTGATATCATTTCCTTTTCCTGATGTCTGGCACACCATGGAAGACAATGAAGAAAATTTGGACAAGCCAACCATCGACAATCTGAACAAAATCCTACAAGTCTTTGTGTTGGAATATCTTAATTTATAATACTCTCATTTAATCTGTGGTAATTGCTTCTAGCATTGTATGTAATAATAAAATATCATTTAAAAGAATCTGGTTCTAGACAAATGGTGTGTGGAAAATTCTGTCCTGTATATTCAATTTTGTCTTTAACTATGTGATCAATAAATCCTAGATTGTGTTGTGTCATAAATTGCTTATTGATTTTAATATAAATAAAGGGAACTTGCAAAGAAAACAGAAATAAATATCATTTTTGAAACCTTGAGAGGCAATAAACTATGAGGCTAACTCATACTCCTATGTACAATATTCCACATGTCTTCTAAACAATACTTAACTATGATTTGTTCTTTCTTAGGTGCCGGCAAGTTGAGTACCACTCATAGTGACTATGAACAAAAGATCTGAACCCAGTCCTGTCTGGTACCACTCTCACACTTCCTGACACATAAGAGTCCATTTCAGCAGTCACTATGTCAATCCACCTGGTTGAGGGTCTCCCTCTCCTCCTTTACTTCACTGCCCCTCCACCTTGCCCAACATCATGACCCTCTCCCAGGAATAGTATCTCCAACAATATGTCCAAAATATATGAGGCAAAGCCTCGTCATTCTTGCCTCCAAAGAGCACTCTGGCTACCACCCTTTCCAAGGTGTATCTATCTATTCATTCTCTTAATTGTCCATGAGATGCTCAGTCCTCTTCTCTAACACCACAATTCAAAGAAGTAAATTCTTTTTCTGTCTTCCTTGTTCATTGTCCAGGTCTCTAACGCATAGCTAGTAATTGGAAAGACTATGGCCTGAATCCATAGATGCACCTTAGTCCTCAAATTGACATCACTTACTCCTCAATAGTTTGGAAAAGTCCCTAACTGTAGATTTCCTCAGTGCAATTTGTCTTCTTATTTCCTGACTGCTGGTACCAAGGGTGTTAATTGTGGATACAAGCAAGATGAAGCTGTTGACAGTTCCAATCTCCTCTCTGATCTAGTGGAAAAAATCTTTGTTTTCTTGATATTGAGACGTAATCCATACTGAAGACTGCATTCCTTGATCCTCTGCAACAAGTGCTTCAAATCCTTCTCACTTTCAGCAAGTAAAGTTTTGTCAACTGCATAACACAAGCTATTGATGAGTCTCCCTCTAATACTGATGCCACACTCCTTTTCATAGAGTCCAGCTTCTTGGATAATTTGCTCAGCATATAGATTGAACAGGTATGTGGCTCTCAGGCCTTGTATTGATTTCATTTGGGAATAAAGTTCTAAGTGATTCAGCATTTGTCTGTCAGTTTGCTGTAATGAGATTACTTGGGGTTGCTGAGATACTTAAATCTTTGCCACTAGTGTGTCAAATTCTAAAAGGGCTTTTCATTATGGATGGGTTTTAGTGGAGCTCCATAATTAAGACAGACTAGGAAGCAGGATAGTCTATCTACTTCCTGACAAAAAGGCTATTGAAAACCCTATGAACATTAAATAAAGAGGATAGTTATAGTAGTGTAGTGGTAGAGCCCAGATTGGAAGTCAGTTGAAAAGAGGAAAATCAATAGCAAACATCTTTTAACAATTGGTACACGGAATGTAGCTTGGATGTTGGAAAACTAGAAATTGTTAAAAATGAAATGGAATGCATGAATATTGACGAATTAGGCATTAGTGAAATGCGATGGACAAGCTATGGCCACTTTGAATCAGATAATCATATGGTATACTATGCAGGGAATTAAAAACAGAAGAAAAATGGTGTTACATTCATAGTCAAAAAGTAAATTTCAAGTTCTGACCTGATATACAATGTTGTGAGTGATAGGATAATATCTACACACATGCCAAGAAGACCCCTTAACAGGACTATTATTCAAATGTATGCTCCTAAATCAAGTGCCAAAGAGGAAGAAATCGAGATTTTTTTTTACCAAATTTTGCAGTTTGAAATTGACCGAACATGCAATCAGGGTGCGTTTATGATAGTTGGTGACTGGAATGCAAAAGTAGGAAACAGTAAAGAAGGAACAATAGTTGGAAAATATAGGCTTGGTGATAGAAATGAAGCTAGTAAGACAATGATTGAATTTTGTACTTACAATGAGTTATTCATTACAAATACTTACATATGGTGGTGATGTGAAATTTGTTGTCTCTAGTTTTGTGATATCTCATTGCATATTATTACTAAGTGAAGACATAATTGGAAGAGCCTCTTTGAGAAATCTTTGTAGGGCTTATTTCATAAAACCATATGACAGAATTGAATACTATCTGGTGAATTGTTTTTAGATGTATAAATGAATTACTTTATTTAAAGAATAGCCAATTTTTAATAGTTTTACCAATGTAACATTTTCATTGTAAAATACAAGAAATGAGAAAAATAAGAACAACATACTCCCCTCTGTTTAAGCTTTAGTGAGCTGAGTGGATCAGCATGGGTCACTTTGAAACAATTATATAATCTACTGTCAAGAATGAAAACCTGAGGAAGAATAGTGTTGTGTTCATAATTAAAAGGACAATTTCAAGGTCTATGTATAGATACTATCCATACCCATACAAGGAAGACCTGTTAGCATGACTATTATTAAAATGTACACACCAACAACTAAAGCCAAAGAGCAGGAAATGGAGGATTTTGACTAACTTTTGCAGTCCCAAATTGATAAAATGCAAACAAGATGCATTAATGATAACTGGTGATTAGAATGCAAAAGTTGGAAACAACGGGGCAGGAATGGTATTTGGAAAGTATGTTCTTTGTGATAGAAATGAGGATGGGGTGTGAATGATTAAATATTATGCCTTCAATGGTTTATTAATAGCAAATACTTTTTTAAAAAAAATACAAAACAAACCCAAAAGGTGACTTTACACATGAATCTTACCTGGTGGAAAGCATAGGAATCAAATTGACTACATCTGTGCAAAGAATCATTGGAGGAGCTCAATATGAGCAGTCAGAACCAGGCAAGGTGCTGACTGTGGAACTCACTATCAGTTACTCATGCGCACATTTAAATTGAGGCTGGAGAAAATGAAAACAAATCCAAAAGAACCAAAATATGATCTTGAGTCTATCACATTTGAATTAAAAAAGAAAAATCTTAAGAATAGGGTTGAGACGTTGATCACCAATGATCAAAAAACAGAGGAGCTGTTTTTTACCAAGGACATTGTCCATGAAAAGTGCAAAAGATCATTACAAAGACAAGAGAAATAAATAAATCCAAAATGAATGTCAGAAGAAGCTCTGAAAATAGCGCTAGAGCACTGAGATGCTAAAATAAAAGAGCTGAATAGAAGATTTCAAAGGGCAGTTCAAGAAGACAGAGCAAAGCATAAAATCTACAAAGATCTGGAATCAGAGAATAAAAAGGGGAAAACTCACTTGGCATTTCTCAAGCTGAAAGAACAGAAAAACTCAAGCCTTGAGTTGCAGTACTGAGAGATGGCATAGACAAAATCTTGAACAACCCAGGAAGCATGAAAAGAAGATGGAAGGAATACACAGAATCACTGTATCAAAAAAGTATCAACCGACACAGAAAAATGTCAGGAAGTTCAATATGAACAAGAGCCAAAGGGAACAAAGAAGGACTTTCAAGCTTCGTTGAGACACTGGCAAAAAGTACGGCCCTGGGAATGGATGGGATACTGATTGACGTGTTTCAGCTAATAGGTGTAACCCTGGACATGCTCACTAGTTTATACCAGGAAATTCGGAGGACAGTTGCCTGACTGGAAGAGATTAATATTTGTTCCCATTCCCAAAAATGGTGATTCAACATAATGGAAATTTTCAAACAATATCGTTAATATCACAAGCAAGCAAAATATTCCCAAATAACATTAAAAAAAAAAAATGGCTGGAACAGTGCATTGACAGAGAACAACCAGAAATTCAAGCTGGGTTTAAAAAGGTCATGTGGCCAAAGGATGTCATTGCTGATGTCCAGTGGATCCTGGCTGAGAGCTGAGATTACCAGAAGAATGTCTATCTGTGTTTTATTGAATATGCAAAGAAATTTGACTGTGTGGATCACAACAAATTATGGCTAACATTGGGAAGAATGGGACCCCCAGAACCCTTAATTATGCTCATATGAAACCTAGACCTAGACCAAGAGGCTGTTGTTCAAATGGAGCAAGGCAACGTTGTTGTTGCTATGTGCGATCGAGTCACTTGCGACTCATAGCGACCTTATGTACAGCAGCCCTAAACTCTGCTCTGTTCTGTGCCAATCGCACTGTCTCTGACACTCCCATCCCAATTATCCCAGTCACTGAATCAATCC